ATTGGTTGACGGGGCCAGTCTGTACGATCTTCAATTCCATATTTTGTTTCATACAGGGCATGATTTACTACAGAGGCGCAGATGTACGTGGTATAGACTCAATTAATAATGCTCTGAAAATTGTGTTCAATTGCTTGTTGTTTTCAGATCCGTCCTTGGCTAGATACTCTTTACATCTAAGTATTGCATTACTATTTGGTAACCAATTGAGTCTTCAATGGGGTCGTTGGTCTTGGAGGGAAAGGTGCAAATGTTTTATTTGGGCCTGGGTCACTTTACCGACACCCACTTTACCGACAAGACACTTTACCGACAAGACACTTTACAAACAAGACACTTTACCGACAATCAATAATATTTCTAGCCCAAACTGTTTCTCAAAGCTTGAACTATTTTGGCAATTTGGGCTTTTCAAAGTTTTTTATATAATAAGGGTGTGAGTTTAACATTCCAAATCATTACTATTTTTTTTTCATAAAATTCAAGAAATTATGTTTAAAAGTATTTAAATGCGAGAGAAAGATTTAATTATTTTGTTTATTTAAAAATTAAAAATAAATTCATCACAATTATCACAAGTCAATTAAATGTTAATAAATAAATTTAATAAAAACAATTAAAAATAACATGAAGTCCGAATATGCAATTTTTATCAATTTTCGTCAGACAAAAAAAAAAATATTATACATGTATCTATATTGTATTTTTATGAACTGGTTTTTGATGCAAAGTAAGGATAATAAGTTGTGTTATTAGTTAATTATTTGTAGGGCAAGGTCAGTACTTGATTAACAGTAGATTTAACTTGTCTGTAAAAAAACCAAACTTTTAGCTTCTACATGGAGTTATCCAGATCTTCACACAGTTGTTAACGCAATGCTTGTTGGTAAAGTGTCTTGTCGATAAAGTGGTTGTTGGGTAAAGTGGACGAGACCACGTTAAAAAATTAAGCATAATGAATATTAAAAAAATTTCAATCCAGAATAATGGTAATGATTTAGAAGTACTGTATTGTAGATGAGATTTAATGGTAATGTATAAAAAGAAGATCAAACTGAGTGATGCAATATCCGTAAACAATTCGGGTTGGCAGGTAGAATATCTGAATGATCTATGAAAGTTATAAAAAACATAAAAGGCTTTGTTGTTATTGTTGCTGGATTAATGTCATTGGTTCAATCTGATCATTTACTATTATTCTATTACTTTTGGAAATCAAAATTCGGTTTATGATGATGACCTATAACTATAATTACTGAATTAGTATTGGTATTATTATACTATTCGTGTTGTATATATTTATTTACTTTAAGGTAATTATAAACCGAAAGACGAATTTGAAATTTGTTTACAAAATCTTAAGTTCAGTTTATCAAATTATATTAAACTCGGCTTAACAAGATGATGTGTTTTTGGTTAACCAATTTTGCATAGTTATAAAGCGAAAATTGGTTTATAGTGGTTCATCCTATCGAGGTTTGACTGTATGCAGTTCATTCTCTCTATAACGGACCATATTGGCTTAAGGAAAAAAGTTTGTTATACATTCTCAGTCCGTTATATAGAGAGTAAGCTGTATTCGAGTGGTTTTGTATCTTCTTTTTTGAATTATTTAATATATTTTTTGGAAATACATTAATATGCTTTTATAATTGCCCGAAATATGATTCCAGCAGCTATTTATTGCATTGCGAAAGAACCTGTTTTCGATTTGTATATTTTCTTCGTCCAATTTGTTCACTAGTACTCGTTAGATCCAGCAAACCTTAAATTTTTAATAGAAATTATTACAATAATCATATTATTTTATCATTTTATTCCTTTTCTTGATTTGATTACTTGCTACACACCAATAATACTGATACTGCTCGCCAACATTAAATTATCGAGATATCATAATTAAATTAAGCATAAATATTATTTATTCAAAGTTTTGCTTGTCTATTATCATATTGATTGGTTTTTTCATTATGAGCCACTCAAGCAAGTCTTTCTGTAAAAGAGAGAGAGACTAATTACAAGTCACTTGGCTTTCCCATGAAAAGGGTTGGTTTCTCATTATTTAATTATATAGGTACTTACTAATAAATCTTCCTTGCTAATATCTTCAATAAATTGGGCTTCTTTATCTTTATAATCATTATCCCTATCTTTAATTTCATTATGCAATTATTATTTTTTAAAAAAACGCTTTTATTGTGCTAGTCAATTATTTTTCAGGGTACACTTGAGCCAAATATTAATTAATTAATTATTATTATTATTAAGTTTTAAACTCCTTTCCATGAAAAAAATAACAAAAAAGGTAAAGGAATTTATGACCCAATTGGTTTCAGAATTCGCCAGCTCCAATTTAATCTATTATATTAATCATAAACAAATTGGTAAAGTTCTCCTTTTTTAAAACTTCTAGTTCTTCATCTCTTATTCAATGTAACATTATAAAGCCAATTAAATCAATTGATATACATAATACTAAATGCTCTAACATCATACATAATAAGCAAACCAAATTTCGTTTTCTTCTAGCAAAACCTGTTGATTGATCTTGTTATTCAGAAGTTGTATTAATGTTATTAATGTTGATTTTAAATTTTAATGTACTAAGAAATTTACATAATTTACGTGATGTGAAGTGGACAATGGTGATGGGATAATTGTTCAAGCAATACAAAATTTTAATCACAATTCTAGTGAAAATAATATAATAAAAAGATTATCAATTGAATTGCCAAGTCATGCATGCTATGATGGAGCCTGAAGATCCACCATCATAACATACCTCCCACTTCAGACAAGAAATCACCTTGCCTTGTGCAATAAAAATTGCTCAGTTAACAACTGCAGGGCGTGGTAAGGCACAGTGAAAAATACATTACTAACTTGTAAAGATTTCTACAAAACGACTGCATTGGAATGACCACAGCTTTTTTGATCCATAAATTCTCAAGAAGGACTTTGAGTTCACAGCCCAGTGCTTTACGCACTTGTTCTTTATTGTATCCTGGTATTTGATTGATGTAACATATGTCCCAGTCACTCCCCAATAAGGCTAGGTTACAGTTCTAATATACTAAAAGGCAGTAATGAAGAAGCTGAAGTTACTCTCCTAATATTAATAACGAAAAGAGCTTACTTTGTTGAGAATTTTAGCATTGAGAAAATTCATTTCAAATCTTTCGTAGAAACATTAAATCTCACATGACATACTAACTAGACCATCAAAATTTGAATTTCTTCGATTAAATAATGAAATTATTTAATTGATTAATTGTATATTTATATATTAAAAAATATTAACAATTAAATGTTAAATATAGGTCCAGATGATTCTATAATTATATTTGTGGCTATGATTATAATCGATACCCAAATCCTCATTTAATACCACAAATGTCTCTTGTGAATGCCAAAAATTTCAAATAATGCTGATACACACACTCCATTGCTTTACATAGTGCAACATTGATTGATAAATATATGATGGAAGGCTTTTAACAAGTGAGAGATTTAACTGGCGTTGACGTTTGGCTGTTATCCGGCCAACATCAACCAAAAATGACCAAAGTGGTCAAAAGAAGCCAAGACTGCGAAGAATTTGTTTTAAATTAATGATTTTCCAGCTGTAATTCATGATCCAAGTGCATTCTTTTTAAAAGAGTCGTCCTGTTGGTTTGTACACAGTGATTCACTAGTGGTGGTTGACCAATGGCCAGATGTAAGGCTAGTCAAGCAGCCAAATGCCAACACAGTCTCCTTGGAAATGATGCGATTAATAAATTTCTAAACCACGCCCCCTGAAAATTTAATTGCATCATTGTATCATTGGGATGCAGGTTATATTAGCTTAATGTGCGCAAGGAACAAGAGTATTCAAGCTTGAAGTAATAGCATCTTCAACACACTACAAGTTTCCATCCATTGATCAAACGTTGCATATCGAGTTGTTTAATTGTCCATGCACGTGGAGATTTCCATGAGAAAGAGAGAGATCTCCAACAGTAATGTTGGTTTTCTTACATTTCTTATAATCATTTAATGTAAATAATAATCACAGAGCAAATATACCACCCTCCCTCCACCAGTTGGCATCAGCATAAAAACGTACTAAATTTTTAAAAAACAGAACTTGTTGTTGTATGTGAAATTGAAATATTATGGAGTGGGGTGAAATTCTGATTGGCTAATTTGAATTTCACGTATGTGAATTGCGAATTCACATAATTTCATTTTCACGTACATGCCTAAAGATCGTGGTAAGTATTATCAGAGCGAGGAACTCTCTAGTTTACGAGACCAGTCGGTTTCTCGTCTCGTTTTTAAGAGACATAATTCTCTTAACAAAACATCAAAATGGTGACAGATATCTTGTTAACTCACAAAATGCATTTTATATCCTTAACACACAAAATAAATTTGAAAGGTTTTTCATATAAAAAAAAAGATGACGCAAATTTATATGATTTATGATAATAAATTTTAGTTCGAAGGAACCGTCTGAATAGCAATGTGATGATGGATCGAGTAATAAAAATCTTTATATTCAAGTGAAAACTATTTATCATAATGATTAATATATAATAAATACATGAAATATTTGAATATTATTGCCTAAAAGACTATTAATTATTTTTTCTAATAATAGTTATCTTGGTAATAACAATATATTAAAAGAAATTATACCATATCTTTATTGATTGGTTGTAACAGCGGCAATTTGAAATGGGAAGGTTAGTTGCATTTGGTATATTAACAATCTATTCATATATTATTTGTGTGTTATAACAATATTATAGTTTATATTTGAACTTGGTTAGTTGATACATATTTATATTTTAAATTATGTAGGTTACAAACAGGATATGAAAAATAATATTTATATATTTTTGAGAATCTTCCATCCATCCACCAACACCAGAACACGCCCATATTTTCCGTTAGATTTGTGAATTATTTAATTTTATTTCTTAAATAATTGAATTATAATATCAAATAAAATTTTATTGTGAAGCCCAATCGCGTGGATTTTTTAAGACCTCAATTAATTTTTCTTCAATGCTGTTTTTCTCAGGTGAATGCATATATTCCCATCTGGAAGTCAATGGCAAAGACATAAAAATGCTTTCAATTCTTGCACCAGGAGTTTGTAACCCAAACTTTGTGCCACGATCCCACAACAAATTAAATTCTACATAACGTCCTCTACGTATTTGTTGCCAACGTTTCTGCTCCTTGGTGAATTTCATGTTCATTCTTCGTTTCACAATTGGTATATAAGAAGGCAAAAGTGCATCACCACATTGTTTAACAAATTCAAATATTTCTTCAGGTTTTTTCTCATCTAAATCATCAAAAAATATACCACCTACACCACGTGCTTCTTCGCGGTGTTTCAAATAAAAGTATTCATCACACCATTTTTTAAATCTTGGATAATAGGTGGGATCATGAGCATCACATGCACCTTTTAAAGTTTTATGAAAATGAATTGCGTCATCTTCATAAAGATAACATGGTGTTAAATCGGATCCTCCACCGAACCACCATATAGATTTACCGGTTTCTGGATTTATAATTTCAAAGTAACGATAATTCATATGTATGGTTGGAGCATTTGGATTATGAGGATGCATCACGATTGAGATCCCAGCAACAAAAAATGGATAAGGTCCTTTTGTAGGATCAATATCTTTGTGTCTTGCTTTCATCTGATTTGCTGCTGCTGGTGGTAATAAACCATAAACCACTGAAATATTTACACCGGCCTTTTCAAAAACATTGCCATCTTGTAAAATACATGAAATTCCACCACCGCCACTTTCGTTACTACGTTTCCATTCATCAATCAGAAACTTCTTGCCATCAATTGATTCAATCTCTGATATTATTTGTTTCTGGAGAGATCTTATGTATTTTTCAAACTTTTCATCCATGTGCAAATCTTTAACATCTTCATCATTCTAAAAAAAAAACAAATAATAATTATTAATAAATATTATCATATAAGGTTTAGATGTTTAATAAATTTACATATTACTTTCAATGATCCGGTATTTGCAGGTTTACATTCCACTTGTTCTATAAACTTTTTTAAATGACAAATTGATATAATTAATTGATTATAATTTTGTGCAAGTATATTGAAAAAATAATTTTTCCTACCTTTTTAAAACCATTATTAATATCATAACGATTGCAATATAAAGAAAATCCTAATGCTGCTACTCCAATAAATAATATTTTTTTGTTTTTACTGCTCTTGTAATGGATAGTATTGGTGATGGAAGCAATATTATTTATTGATCTTTTATTAATAATAGTATTAAATTTTTGTTGAAGAGATTCATTGATGCTAAAATTTTTGCTAAAAGGTTTTAACAAACTTGAGCTTCTCGTTATGAAAGTTTTTTTCGCTAATAATGACTTGTAAAACATTGATTAATATTAAAAAAATCAAAAAAAAAAATCTTGTGTAATTATGAATCTCAAAATGATGTATGCATGCATATGAAATTTTGAGAATATTTATTATTTATATTATATATTAATAAAACCATACTTTTCAAAGGCTAAAAAGATTATTTTACTAAAGCCTATCCCATATCGAAATCTTTGATTTAAAGCTTCTCATGAGCCGGCTCACACGGAGACTTACTTTGATTGCTTTTGAATTCACAAACGGCTTTATCGTTACTTGTTTTATTGGAACGAATTATTATTATCTTTTTTTAAGAATGAATGTGGAAGTTTTCCTGCTAGTCTTGCTTGATATTGACTGAATTAAAAAAAATTTTTACCAATTAAACTATAATAAAATAAATTATTTCTCGTCAAAAGTTGCTAATGATAAATTGCTGTCTTTTTTTTTAATCATAGATAAATATAAATTAAAAGTCTTAAAAGCAGATGTATAATTATTATTATCATTATATTATTATGTATTTTCAAGGGTATTTACTGTGATACCTTTTATTGTTAAATTGATAATTTTGTGATATAAATGAAGCGTGGGCAATAGAAACCGCCAATATATAATATTACCATAGATGTTCTCTTATCATTATTTTTTAATAACAAATAATCAAAATTAAAGAAATACTATGCAAAAGCAAGCGAGTAAAAAAACATTCGAGAGGCGAATCGGTTTGTTTTTTATTCATTCATTTATTTATACATCCCAGATCAAAGGTTAATTTGATCGATCACCATAGAAGAATGAGCTTTACAAATTTCAATTGTTAAAATAAATAAGGTTTTTTAACATAATTTACTTCGATAAAACATAATAAAGTGACGATTGATATCATTTTTTAAAATTAAATGAATATTATGTGTGCATGTTAATATGTGTATATTTAAAAAGCTTTTTACCGCAGGTGAAATTTTTCCATTTTAACATTAACGTTTACAGATAATAAAATATTATTTATTCTACTAAAGCTTATGAACGTATCAGGGTTGGCAAATTGACTGGTGCATTGAGAACAGATGGATTTTGGACTGGTCCATTGCCATTAATAAAATACTAAATACGGTTAAAGTGTTACACTAATGGACCCAATGGACCACCAATAGACCATCAATGGACCGCGTATTTGCCAACCCTGGAACGTATATATACAATCATTCATTTTTAATTTCGTGCAATCCAAAAAAAGTTATCGAAAATAACTAATCAAATAATTACACCGATTTTATTTGTTTGCTAATTGTTTATTTAATTGGTTCAAACAACGTGATCGATCATGTTGCATAATAACATTGCTGATCTTTTAATTGAATATGTATGTGGGTGGGTTGATTGGTGAATTGATATAATTAGCAAATACTTTAATAAGAATGACATCATTAGGATTATTTATTTATTCTTTAATAATAAATTTAATATAAATCAAATGTTTCATAATGTTCCTAATGTGCACATATCATATATGCATATTTCTTTCTTTCTCCTCTTATGAATCGAAAAAAGTAAAGGATCGCATTTTTTTTGCTAGTACTGCTTTATCATATTAACAACTGTATTTCGCTTCTTGCGTTGTAGATGCACCTTTTATACAAATGCAAAATCAAATACGGTATCTGCGGTAGTCATAAAAGCAGTAGCGATAGTAAATGAATTAAATTATATACTTGCTACACCAAAAGTTTTGCCAACGATAATAAGAGCTATGTGCCATGTTGTAGCACCAACACCCCAATTATTGCAAAACTCAACATCAAATCCAACACGATTTTTTGAACTGGGAAAATGGTGTATTTTTGTCTAAATGTGTGATCTTTTTTGATTTATATGTACGACCAAATTTAGGTGATGAATTGTTTTGAACAGTTGTGCTATGATTTGTATAACAGCAGAAACTTCAGTTTTCAATATCTTTTCAATCATCTGAATGATTTAATTTGTTCTTTAAACAAATTGAACACTAACGGTAAACTTGTTAGTTTAAATTCTTACAGATATGATAGGTATACATGTTATTAGAGCAAGTAATAGTCGTGGAGTAGGATTCTCGTCAGCATCTACACCAACGGCAATTACAGTGGACTTACAAGTAATAATGATTTATTTGAACATTTCCATTCTTGGAGCATTCAATTTATTGGTACAGTGATCTGGCAGCTCCACATATTACTGTTATTATTGTTCTGAAAATTAATGCTCTAGTCTTCTAAAAATGGTTCAAAGATTACTCGATGCAAGTACCAAAACATCGTTGTAAATCTACTATTAAATTCGCTAACACAAAATAGATTCTCGAATTAGAAGACAGATGATTTTTTTTTTAGAAATTAACAATCATAGATGTTTAATTCATTTGTTTGTTTGGATTACATACTTTCTTAATAATAATTATTATTTAAAAATTATTATTAAATAAAAATAATTAATTATTCTGCAATTTAAATTTTCTATGCGCGCGCGATAAATAATTTTATTGAAAATGTCCAAAAAAATCGAATGTTGGTTTGCACAAAATTAATCGTAAAAATGTATAAATTTTATATAAATATACTTGATTTTTTTTAATCAATTTATCGTCGTTTTTTACTCTTTCCTCCCTCTCTCATCATCTATTAATATTTAATATCATTAATACACAATTTTCCCTTACAGCATAATCCTTTTACCTTGGAAATTGGCTGTATTCACCCCATTCATTCTTTTACATACTATATAAAACAAATATTATTTATTTATTTAATTAAATAAATTCATTCGTTTTATTTTATTTTAAAGAAAAAAAAATATTAACCAACACACAAAATGATTTCTTCCAAAATTATTTCAATTGCCACGACATTATATTTGGCTTCATTATTATTTTCAGCTATTTTAGTCAGTTCAGCTAAAATCGAGTGTACTAAAAATACTGCCAGTTTAATTAAAAAATTCAATGTAAGGAAAGATAGATTTGTGGTTTTGCTTGATCATAAAAAAGGGTCAACTGCTTCTTCATCAGATCTTGCCCAACATTTAAAATTTTTTAAAGAATGCTGGGGTATGGATTCTGAACCAGCTTTAAATGGCAAAGTTTCAACCAATAAACTTTCAAAAGATAAACTATCACACTTTTCTGTTGGTGTTCTTAGTGGTTATATTGGTTTTTTTAATCCTCCACTTGCTAAACAAATTAAATTGTTGTTGCCTAACGTTAAGATGGTTCAAAAGGAATCGAAAGTGAAGGCGTTTGCTCCTATAACAACAATTACTCGATCGACTAAATTTTTCGACTTGGATCTTATAGATCAAAGAGATCGTAATTTGGATGGAAAATTCCATTTTCCTAGTCCAGCTGGTCAAGATGTAGATGCATACGTGATTGACACCGGTATAAATAAAAATCAAACAGAATTTGGTGATCGTGTTAGGTTTGGTGCTGTTTTTTGCGCTCCATGTTTGGCAAAAGATGATAATGGCCATGGCACCGCAGTAGCAAGTCTCATTGGTGGTAAAAATTTTGGTGTAGCGGAAAAAGTTAATCTTATAGCAGTTAAAGTACTTGATGCAAACGGTTCTGGAACTAATGTAAATGTTATATTAGGAATGTTGTTTGTGTTAAAGGAAAAGTTAGAAAAAAATAGAAATGTAATTGTTAATATGTCGCTTGGTGGTGGGAAGAATCAATTAATAGACTTGGTGGTTAAAACTCTTACGGATAATGGTGTACATGTCATTGTAGCTGCTGGTAATGAAGGACAAAATGCTTGTGATACCTCACCTGCAGGAGCACCAACAGCAATTACAGCGGGTGCAACTGAAGATACAAGTATGTCAATCACTAGTTTCTCAAATTTTGGATCTTGCGTTGACATTTTTGCTTCTGGTAGAAACGTTCCTGTTCTTTTCAAGGGTAAATCTACATTATCTGGTACAAGTTTCTCATCTCCATTAACTGCCGGTGTTGTTGCTGTAATAATCAGTACTACTGGTAATCTTAGTCCTGAAAAAATGGCTGAAAAAGTAATTTCGGAAAGTACCAAAGATGTTGTTGAAAACCTGCCATCAGGCACACCAAATAGATTCTTATTTCTTCCCCAAATTTAAAATTATTATTATTGGTAGATAAATATATTTACTTATATTTCTTATTTTTATTACTTTTATTTGTTTGGAAAATAATTGTACAATAATTAATTATTATTTGATCGTGTATGTAATTAAAAACAAGTATTTATATATATATATAAATAAATAGTAGTGATCTAATAAAATATTTGAATGCAAATATATCTTTATTTTTTTCGTCTTTATGATGATGGATTTATCTTTTGATATGGTGATTTATTTGACTGATCTATCAAAACTAACATAAACAACATGGCCTTTAAGAAATGTTTCCAATGCTTCAATCCTTTACTCATGAGTTCCTTCCTTTTTAGAAAATGATGCTGACATCAATTTATTACGTGTTTCATCTTTAAGAATCCTTTCTTGCATAAATCCCCGTGGTTTAATCGACAAATACTATGTGATATGTGTATATATTATGCAATAATTAACATATAATTACCAAATAAAAATATGTAAAATGCTGTCAATCCTCCCCATACAGCAAGTATATTTGAAATAAAAGACAGAGCCTGATTGATACAATTGACAAAGTTAATGAAATGATTAATGATAATGATAATGGTAATAATTAATTAATATGCTTACATTTTTATTTCTATAATAAAAAAAATCAATGATTATTAGAAATTAAGAATTACTCATTCATTAACTCAATCAATCTACTTACCTTTCACTCCCCTACCATAAATATCCGACCACCTGATGATCATAATTTGCGAACAAAGAAATCAAAATTAACAAATTATTATTTTATTAATTGATTAATAATCAAATTACTAAAATAATTTGGAGCAACCCGGAACAAATTATATAGTAACCCAGGTTATAATAAAATATTTTGCTCCGGGATTATAAAAGGCAAGAATACCTTTATTATAAAGGATGAATTTAAAGATATTACATGTCCATAACCAATATAAAATTTTATTAAAATAATACATTATGGTAATAAATACAATAATAAAAAGTAAAAAAATAAAAGAAGTAATAGACAGTATTGAACAAGAACAATTAGAAAATAAATTGAATAATTTAGAAAGATTAGAAGACTGAGAAGAAAGACTTATTGATCAAACTGAAAAATTGCATCAAATTGAAAAAGATTTAGTAAGCAAAACTAAGGAAGCAGAAAGAATAGAACAAGCTCTACATCTTTACATTGAAAATAGTCTAAATGAGCAAAAAGAATTAGAAAGAAAAATAAAAGTATTAAAAGAAAAAGATGAAAGTAAAGAAATTGCTTTGCTGAAAGAAATTCACCAAAAAGTAATTAGAGAATTAAAAAAATTAAGTTGAAGAAGCAAATTGAAAATATGACTTTATTATGGGAAGGGGTGTAGGTTCAAACGAGAAGATTAAAGAACTAGAAAAAAATTTGGAAGAGAAGGAATTATTGGTTGATTACTTGAAAACTAGAGTTGAGGAAGAAGAAGAAAAAGTTGAATGTCACCTTGAAGAAGTAAAAGACAATTAGCTGAAAACTTGGAGAAGTTAGAGAAAGTCAAGAATCAGGAAATACAAGGTATTCTCATGACCTTAAAAGGTAAGGAAAATGAATTGCAAGCAATTCAGCAAGAGATGAACCAACAAGCCCAAGAAATTCAGCAGTTGAAACAAGAATTATACTTAGCCAACAAATCTTTACCAGCATTACCAAAGAAAAAGAATAAACTACTACAGTTTACAAAAAATATAAGTGAGAAAATTCATTTAAAAAAGAAACAAGGACAAATAATTGAAGTAAAACCTAAGCAAATCAAACCAACTCACACTAATTCTTTTTTACCAAATCTTTTTTTAATATCTTTAATCTTTAAAAAATAATATATTTGTTATATTATTCTAAAATTAGACAGCAAAATATTTCTCTACTGATTTTCTTTTCTTTCTGGGTTCTTTGTGGTTCTGTGTTAATGTTCTTTTACTGGTTATGATTTTTCTCTCTTCTTGGTAAATTTCATAAGTAATCTTTTCTTTCTTTCCTTAGATAAGCTTCAAGTGCCTGAGTATCATTCATTTATTTGAAAATATAGGGTACAATTTTTTCACCTTGTTTTCTTTCTTCAAAATACTTCTAATGGTGCTGTAATTCTTGGGTTCCATGGTAGACCTAATGTAAATTAGTTTCATATTAATTATTTTTATATAGGGGGATATTTCTATATATCACTTAAGATAACAAATGGGATATTAATTATGATCACATTACAAATGACTAAATTTTGATCCCTAAAACTCTTGGTTATACCAATGTTCACTTTCTGATTTTGTTGCAGCATGCCCCATATAATAATAATAATAATAATAATAATAATAACAGCACCACAAATAATTGTCATCTACCATTTTATTCTGAAGTGGCATCAAGAAAAAGGAAAACAAAGTAGATACTAAGAACTTGTCAGAAGAGGAAATGGATTTTGATTATGAAAAAAACCAAACAAAGTATGTGATAAAAATATATTTCAATTACTTTAAAAAGTTAATGATTCAGCCTCATTAGTTGATAAAATAGGTTTCTACTTTTAATGTAATGAAGAGATTTTCTCCAAAAAATTATTTATTGTAGAGTTCTATTTTTTTTTTTTAAAACATGTACTTTACTATGCTCATGAGAAATTTGAGCGCTAGGATTATTACTAAATTTAGACTAGTTTTTGATTATCATTCCTAAATTTAGCCTAATACTCGACCATCATATCTAGATTTGGCAGTAAGGAAAATGTTTTTAACCAAAATCACGTGTAAACCTCTTTTTGAAATTTGGGCGCGTGGCGCAGCAATAGGAGGTCTTTAGACTGAGCCAACCATACAATATTTAATTCAGGTGAAAAAAGGATCTACAAATGACAATGATGATGGTGTAAGTTGATGTTGGATTGATCTTCATTAACTTAATTTTTTTCTGAGATGAGAATTATATATACCTGAGTAATGTTGTTTCTATCAGTTTAAAACATCTTGTCCAGATCACAAAGCAAAACTGTGATGACCACTCCTCAAAAACCTACCCTTTTTGCAGATTCTGTAAAATATCTGGATAAACATTTTTCAGTAGTTATTAATCAGCAGTGTGTTATAATGAAAGAAATTAAAGTTGATATAATTCCAGGATCTGTTTGTGGTGGGAGGCATTCATTTTACTGACAATTATTTTACCAACAATTCATTTTACCAACAACTTAATCAAACAACTAATAAAATGCTAAAATGGCACACCACATGTCGTTGGTAAAATGAACTGTTGGTAAAATGATTGTCAATAAAGTAATATGTACAGTTTGTGGCTAGCTTCTTAATGTATTATCAGTAAGTTAACATAAAGTTTTTACACATTATATCTGAATACACATTAAAAAATTTCTCCTGATTAGTCTGGAAAGGATGTACTTGATTAACAGTAGATTTAACTTGTCTGTAAAAAAACCAAACTTTTAGCTTCTACATGGAGTTATCCAGATCTTCACACAGTTGTTAACGCAATGCTTGTTGGTAAAGTGTCTTGTCGATAAAGTGGTTGTTGGGTAAAGTGGACGAGACCACGTTAAAAAATTAAGCATAATGAATATTAAAAAAATTTCAATCCAGAATAATGGTAATGATTTAGAAGTACTGTATTGTAGATGAGATTTAATGGTAATGTATAAAAAGAAGATCAAACTGAGTGATGCAATATCCGTAAACAATTCGGGTTGGCAGGTAGAATATCTGAATGATCTATGAAAGTTATAAAAAACATAAAAGGCTTTGTTGTTATTGTTGCTGGATTAATGTCATTGGTTCAATCTGATCATTTACTATTATTCTATTACTTTTGGAAATCAAAATTCGGTTTATGATGATGACCTATAACTATAATTACTGAATTAGTATTGGTATTATTATACTATTCGTGTTGTATATATTTATTTACTTTAAGGTAATTATAAACCGAAAGACGAATTTGAAATTTGTTTACAAAATCTTAAGTTCAGTTTATCAAATTATATTAAACTCGGCTTAACAAGATGATGTGTTTTTGGTTAACCAATTTTGCATCGTTATAAAGCGAAAATTGGTTTATAGTGGTTCATCCTATCGAGGTTTGACTGTATGCAGTTCATTCTCTCTATAACGGACCATATTGGCTTAAGGAAAAAAGTTTGTTATACATTCTCAGTCCGTTATATAGAGAGTAAGCTGTATTCGAGTGGTTTTGTATCTTCTTTTTTGAATTATTTAATATATTTTTTGGAAATACATTAATATGCTTTTATAATTGCCCGAAATATGATTCCAGCAGCTATTTATTGCATTGCGAAAGAACCTGTTTTCGATTTGTATATTTTCTTCGGAATTGGATCTCCATTGTGAACAATACACATGCGGTTTATTTATAGAAATTGTTGAAACTGAGTCGTTGTTATTATTTGATACCAGTTTGGCAAGAAAATAGACAAATTTGTGAAATTTGAAACACCTCAAATGCCTTTCTATATAGCATAGACAGTTGGCTTCCGGAACTCCCTGGAAAGCAAATATAATAATAATGTACACTAATACTAATACCAATCTTCATTTTATTTTTTCGGAATTAAGTTCCGACAGATCTCTGTTTTGCAAATTAAATTGCATTTTTCAAGCCAACTATGGTTAGATTAACCTAATATTCTTTTATATTTTGTTGATATTAATGTTTTTTAAGCTTTACTAAAATTGTATATTTTGGGGCAATAAAATAATTTTTTTTTATTTTCTCCTGACAAAAAATCCCCATAAAGTAATATCTCAAAAAAAGAATTTTAGCTTCAATTAAAAACATACATTATGTAAGATAGATTTTATTAATTACCCTTGTCTCTGATAGAATTTATATCAATAATTTAAGTAATTTTCTTATAATAACAGGTGCGATAGATGTGTCGTCGCCAGTTATAGTTTCAACAAGAGTGCGTAATAATAATATTATTATTTATCTGTCTCTTTATCTAATCTCAAATATATATATGTCTTTAATACCAATCTAATCTCTCAAGTTTTGTCAATTGCGTCAATTCTTTATATCAGCT